TATATAATCAGACATTTATAAATGTTAAGGTACAACTAAACAAAAGTTTATATATATTGTAATATTTTTTCAAAGTCAAAGCTTTTGTCAAATTTCAAAGAATTATAAAAATCTTTTCTTTTTCATAAAATTTATTTTTTCAATTCATTTACTAAACAATAAAAATTTTGCTATTCGTTTTTTCTTATTCAATCAAAAAAAGTAAAGTTTAGTTTAAATAATCAAGATTTTTATTATTGGTTTATTTTTTTTTAGTGTTAAAAATATTGTTATTTACTCTTTTAGATTCATCATGTAATATTGATACAATTTCTTTAGGATTTATATTATTTTTGTACTTTATTGTTCTCTTAATTGTGGTTGGATATTTATAATTATTTTACTACTTTTAATAAAATTTTACTTGGATTTATTTAAAAAAAGTCAAAATTAATAATTATTTATATGTTGATATGAATATATAAAAAATATATAATTTGGTTAAAGTATAAAAGCCATTTATATTATCAAAATATTCTTAAATTATTAAATCTTATAAAGCTAAACAAAAAATAAAACATCAAATAATAATAATAATAATAATAATAATAATATATGATTGAACAACAAAACATAATTATTAATTTGCTCATAACCATTTGCTTTTTATTAGTTGTTATTTTTTTACATATATACTTTAACATACATAGTTGTTTTTTTATTAGAACATGAACCATATATACAAATTGAGAATTATAAATGAGTTAAAATTCTTGTACTTATGTATAACAAATATCCAGTTTAACTAAATATTTATATTTATATTATATATATAAACATATGAACCAATTTATTTTAGAATAAATCAAATCTAGATGCATATATCATATAATACAAATAAAACCAAATAATAAGTTTGAAGAAACAAACAAATAGAGGAAAATAATAAAAAATATATATAATATAAAAAAAGTAATGAACTATACTTATTACCTTGTTGAAACCCAACCAAATATGCTCTCATTTTCTTTTCATTATTGAAATCGAAAAACAAAAAAAAATCAATATTATAAAAAAATTTAACGCCATCACAAACTTATTTTTAAAACTAAAAAATAAAAAAAAAGAATAATAAAGGCATAAAATGAATTTACTTATTTATGAGTATGATGCTGTTATTATTCTTTATAGCTTTTGTCTATTTCTATCAAAACTCATAATTCATAATCGTCAAATAAAAAAAAGATTGTATTCTTCAATTTTTAATTCTAATAATAACAAATAAAATAACATTAATTAAAAGGTGATGTACCTAGTTTACGAGTTCTTTATTTTTATTTTGAGATTTTAATTTCGACGAATAAAAATTTATTAAGCTCACACACACATATATATGTAGAGTTATAATTAAATTTAAAAAGAAAAAGAAAAATTATGATTTAATGTATTTAAATCCAAATTTTATGTAAAATTTATAATTTTTGATAGAGTTTGATTTGAATTTAAATAGTTACCCAAAAATATTAAATTTATATAATTTATTAAATAAAATTATTTGACAACAAATATTAGTTTATTAAGCCTATATATATTTGAAATTATGATTAAATTAAAAAAGAAAGGTAATTTATAATTTAATATATTTAAATTTAAAATTTATGTAAATTTTTCAATATTTTATAGATTTTGATTTGACTAAATATATAAATTGAGAATGTATATATAATTTAAATATCTTATACTTATGTATAGTAAATATTCAGTTTAACTATATATATATACATATATATGAACCAACCTTTTTAAGAATAAATCAAATCAAAGTGTATATACTATATAATGTAAATAAAACCAAATAAAAGGTTGGAAGAAACAAACAAATAGAGGAAAAAAATAGAATAGAAAAAAAAATAATGAACTATACCTATTACTTAGTTAAAACTAATTTAAATGTATGCTCATTTTATGAGCTTTTTATTTTTATTTTAAGATTTTGATTTCAACAAATAAAAATTTATTAAGCTTACACATATACATATAATATATATATATATGTAAAGCTATAATTAAATTTGAAAAGAAAAGATAAATTATGATTTAATATATTTAAATTCAAAATTTATGTAAAATTTTCAATTTTTGATAAAGTTTTATTTGAATTTAAATAGTTACCCAAAAATATTTAATTTATATAATTTATTAAATAAAATTATTTGAAAGAAAATATAAGTTTATTAAGCCTATATATATTTGGAATTATGATTAAATTAAAAAAAAGATAATTTATAATTTAATATATTTGAATTTAAAATTCATGTAAATTTTTCAATATTTTATAAATTTTGATTTGAATTTAAATAATTATCCAAACATATTAAATTTACATAATTATCCAAACATATTAAATTTAAATAATTTATTATACAGAGTTACTTGATAAATAATATAATATAAATATTATCTTATGTGTCATAAAAAAAAACTATTCACATAAGCATTCATATCAGCACATATTTTTTGGTAATTTTGTATCTTGTAATAATATATATATATATATTAGATAATAAAATACATTCTACTTTTAAATGGACTAATTATATGATAATTTATGTATTATTTTAATAATTTATCTACTTTTTAAAATGTCATTAAACAATAAAAAATTATTAAAAATCCAATTTACTGTAATAAAACTCATATCGAATGATGATTTCATTGTGAAATATTTTATTCACTAAAGCTTTTTTTATAAATTAAACAATTAAATTAAAATTTAAAATTTAATTATTAAATTTTTAGTTTTGAAAGTTTTCAAATACTAAATTTATGATAAAAGTTATTTGGTATGCTCTTGAAAATTAAATATTTAGTATATTTTTTTATTAATCTTTTATAAAATAGAAATATGGTTTCATAATTATTTTTAATTTTTAAAAATTAAAAAAAATAATTAAAAGAAAAGGATAAATGCAATATTTGAAATGATAGTTTTAATTCTATTTCTTTTTCTTTTTTGAAAACACCTTAATTCTATTTCTAAAGCTCCACAATTTACTCCTAACTTTTCGTATTATATACAACAATAGAGAAAAATTTTGTACGAAAATATATAATTTCCATTTAAATTATCTCATGTAATCATGTTAATAAAAAAGGTCAACTATTTATTATACGTTATATATGATAATTAAATAATAAATATTAATTTTAATAGACTCATGCATGTGATTTATAATAAATTATTAACTTTTTTCATTAACATGATTATATGATATGATTTGGATAAAAAATATATATGTTAACATTGAATAACTATTTCATATAATATTTTCTTTGCAATGATAATGTAAGAATAATCATGTAATTTTTTTGGGAGGAAGTACTTTATAAATTGACAACGAAGTTTTAAAATTTTAAAGACATAAAAAGTTGATGCATGATAGTTTAATATATATATATATTTTAATTTTCATAAACATAGTCTAATGAGATACTTGTTAATTCATTAATTTGCAGAGTTCAATTTTTTTCTTTTGGATAAATCAAATTTTATTGATCCAAAGAAGTAAGCAAGCCTAATAAGGCTGGATTTAGATCTCACTGTAGTAATGGCTCACTGCATCTCATATTTTACACTTTAGTCCTAATAATATATTTTTATTTTAAATTTATCTATACACTTAGATTTATCAAAATAAAAATAATTTTAGTAAATCATATCATAAATCATATATAATATTATATTGCAACATATATAAAAATATGATAAGATTTGTTTATATGGATGCTTAAGTGGAAACCTATATAGAGTAATTCTAAATAATTTTATTTAATCAATTATTCAAATTTTAAGAATTTTAAAATTTCAAAATTTACGTTTATCTAAATATTTTATAGTATATAAGTTTTATCCTAATTTAAACCTGAAAAATATATCTCATACCTCACTTTTACCCATATATATAAAATATAAAATTCAAATAGTTTTTTAATATTAAATCCTAAATCTTAGAAATCATAAAAAAAATACACTATCCAAATCAATATTCATACAAATTTAAATAAATAAAGTTTGTGCTTAAATCACTATTATCTAATAACTAATTTAAATAACTATTTTTTTAATATTTTAAATATTAAATAAAATTAAACTATGATCAAAATAATTTCAACTTTATTTTTAAATTAATATGTCTAATAATCTTTGCTTTTTACATATAAACATATATTTTATCATTAATTTTAATTTTATTACTATAATAATTAATCTCACTACCATTATTATCTTCAATCTCATGAAAACCACTCTTAGGCCTATCTAAATGATCCTAAAACATGAACAAACTACGTATTATAATTTTTTTTTTTAAGTTAAGGGGAAGGCATAGGCCTTGAAAGGAAAAAAGGGGAGGAGCTCCTAACTCGAAAGTAGAACTCTGTTCATTGTTATTATATAAGATAATTTTCAGCCTTTATTTATTCAATACAAATGCCTAAATGGTTAGAGTTAGCATCGGGTTAGGTTAAGGGTAAGTTTTGCTCGCCCCGAACTCGATTTGATTTTATGCTTTATTAAATCTGAATCTAATTTTATTCGAATTTTTTTTTGTTTTTTTATATCTAAACTCGATCCGATCAAAAATTAATAAAATATTATTTTTTAAAATATAAAATATTATTTTTTAAATATAAATATTTAAAAATATCATTATATAAATATATATAAATAAAAAATAAAAAATAATTTTTTATATAATATCAGGTCGGGTCGGGTTTTAAGCAAACCTGAATCCGACCCGATCTCGATTGTTTCCTAACTTTACCCGATTCGACCCGAAATTCGAATTTAAAAAAAAAAAAAATTGACCCCATAAGATCGGGTCTGACCAAAACCCATCGGAGACGGATTAAATCGCCGTCCCAGTAAATGGTACATCTAGCATTTATTTATTCATTAGAAATAAAGATGCTAGTGCATACATATGCTAGTAGCGGTTTCACTTTCACAGTGGCACCTTAAACCTAATTTGGCCAAGTCGTTGATCGCTGTAAGAATCGACCGTAACTTGAACTGGGGTGTTTGTAGAATCAAGCACATCCATAACCTCCATTGTCATCTCATGGAAAATGGTGCCATTGCTATGAAATCGCCACCGTTCCTCATTCCGTCCATCGCCGTTCCCACGGTGACTAAGATCTCATCTGTATACTTGAGACATCCGAGTCGGTTCTTCTGAGGCCTGATGGTCCCGTCTAGATATATTGCCCACTGTTGTTCAGCATCGTTACTCAAACACCTCTCCAGCCACACTAGAGTTCCACTTGCCAGCAAGCACTCACCATTGTACCCAACAATGGTGGTCACCGATGGGTTCGTATTATTACTGACATACCAAGCTTGTCTAGAACCATAAGAGTTGCTATCTACAATCAAATTAATCATGCCTGAGCTATCTTTACTTCCCGTCAAGACTAGCCCAGATCTAGGATTTATTATGGTTCCGTCGCTCCAGATTTCCCATTTGGTGGCATCAGAGACAGCCGAGTTACAATAAAAGATCATTACATAGCTTACGGAGCTGTATCCATAAGTGGTTAAACATTTTCCGCCAGATCGAATTGTGTTATCATCTGTTCTCAACGTCCACAATTGATTGGCCTGATTTTGCCCACATTCCCATCAGATTATTTTGTTTCCGTTGTGGTAGCTTCCCTGGTATACATCAACACACAGACCATTTTGTCCAGTAATATGCGAGGTCGGTGCTAACGCTCTTTCACAATTGTCATCGTTGTTTACCAGGCCAATGGATCTTATAGCCATAGGCAACAAAGAAGAAAACTCATATAATGATATCGATGCTGGCATGCGCAAAAGCTGCGGATTAGCTCTTATGTTTCTGCATGCTGATGATGGCATTATTGCAATAATGAAAAGCACTTGTCTCACGGTGCTCAAAACCGCCAATTCTTGACTATGATATACTAAATGGATTGCATTATTGAAGATTCCATCTGTTGCAGAATAGATGGCAGAAGAGATCTTTTTCCAGCTGTTTTCATACCTCATCACTAAACCATCTGGATAAAACACTCCATAAGTTCCATCCGCACGAGGCTCTGCAACTGAAAGTATTTCTTGCTGGATGTTTCTCAATCGCACAGCTTCTGAAACCATCTGGATACAAACTATAAGAGCTCTAGCGATGGAGCTTCTATGTGAACTAGGTTGGAGATTATTCATGTTATCAATATGTTGGCGTAGTTCGTCAATTCCGAGAGGGATTTCCCCTCTATCTACCACTACTCCTGCAGCACCTTCAAGTGCCCCACATCTGCCAGTAAATGGAAGAGACTCTCTCTGAGTGTTTGGAAAGAGAGCATTACGTGCATCAGTGGGAACATCGCTAAAGAAGTAGGAGCTTCCACTTCCACCTGCTTGATAACCCAAGATTTACGCATCACTGACATTCAAAGCTAATGTGACGGTTTGGTACCCATTTGAGAGTTCCACATAAAGATATTGTTGGGGATCAGTAAGCTGTGCAGATCGGGGAGGCAACACTGGTATGTCTCCGGTTCTATCTGCACGGTCTGTCAATGCATTGTACAGATCCTTCATAAACATCAGATACGAGTTTCTGGTGGCACCATTAGTGGTGAATCTCACAGTGTAAATCGTGAGCTTGTTTTCTTTTTCTGTCGCAGCGATGCAGCACTGTGGTTCAACCATGAATATCCAACAAGCCCATACGGCCAACAGAAGCCACACCTTCATATTTTGTTGATACAAAGGAACTTTTCATTTCATACAGCACAAGAAAATTTTTAGGGAAAGTGTATTTGGTGAAAGACTTTAAGTACGGAGAGAGATTTTTGATTGCTTAGCTTTCTACGTGATTCTAATGGGCGGAGAGCGCCTTTTATAACAATAGAACTTCACTTAAACTTGATTGGAATTGGCTGTTCTTAATAATTTTCCTTGGCAGTATGTAATGAAATTATTGAGCCTTCAAAGCATGAAATCCACGTGATCATTGTTCCTTACCAAATAATAAATATTCTTACTGGACCGCACCATTTTGTTATTCACCCAGTAGAAAAAAAATCCAATTATTGAGCTTTCAAACCAGGAAATCATCGTAATCAATGATTCTTGGGGTGTTGTCTAGAGTGAGGTTTATTATGGTGCAGTCCTGTGAGGTCCTCTCACATACACCGATGATTTTGTGGCTCTGTTCTTCATCGTTGGATCTAAAAGCTACTTCTGTTGAATGTAATTGTAATGTAATTGTAACCGTGAAGCTCAAAAGAAAAATGACAAAACCAATACCTCATTCGTGGCTACTACATTTGTCACACCTGCTTCTGAATTTGATCCAAGGGTTAAAAACTCATTAGACCGCACAGTTGCAGAACCGTTTTTTGGTGCATGACAGGTTTGGAAGATGTTACAATAACCAATTTTAAAGGTGTTTATTTGGTGGATTTGATTATTTTTTAATTAAATTATTTAAAATTAAATTAATTGAATTATATTATATTATTTTTATTAATTAAATTGAATTTATTAATTTTAAAATTAATCAATAAAATTTAATTCGATCGATTTGATTAATTATTTTGTTAATTAAAAATAAATATATTTAAATTAAATTAAATTTTAAATTTTTTATATTTTAAATAAATTAAATAAAATTATTAAATAAAATATTCAAATATCAAAGTTTTATAATAAAATTCTAACAACTTATGACATAAAATGGTAAATTTCATATATTTTTTATTTTGTATTTAAATTATATTATATTTAAATTAAAATTTTAATTAATTTTATTTTCTAATCGAATTAATTAAAAATCAAACTTCTTTCAAAATTATTTTCATTAATTGATTAAAATTAATTTTATAACTTTTCAATTAATTTAATTAATTTAATTTAATCAATCAATTTAATTAAAATCAAATTATAATATTCTTGGCGATTCTGAATAGAAAAAGTTTAGGGTTTTCAAACCATGAAATTATCGTGCTCACTATTTTGCCGTGTAATGTACGCAATTTCAGGGACACCGTACAATTGGATGATATTCATGCTATCCTTGTCAAAGTTAATTTCATTTTCATGTGAAATTTACTAGGGTCGGTAATATAACCTATTTTTGATGGTTTTTGATTTGATTTGATTTTATGAGATCGATTTTTTTTTTGAAATGTAAGTTTTGGATCGGATCGGATCGAATAAGATTATGAAACAATTATGATCGGGTCAAGTTCGAGTTTAGGTACACTCGACCTGACCCGATATTATATAAAAAATTATTTTTTAATTAATTATTTAATTTTTTATTTATATATATTTATATAATGATATTTTTAAATATTTATATTTAAAAAATAATATTTTATTAATTTCGGGTGTGGTCGAGTTCAGGTATGAAAAAACAAAAAAAAATTCGGGTAGAGTCGAATTCGAGTTTGATAACACATAAAGTCGAGTCGGGTTTGGGGCGAGCAAAGCTCACCCCGAACCCAACCCGATGTCAACTCTAATATTCACACATATGGTGGTTTGCAGTAACCTTCAAATGGCCCTTCGTTAGGATAAGAATGATGTAGTATGAATAGAGAATAAATTATTTCACCAGCCAGTATGTCTGTCATTTTTGCCTGGATGCCTCATTTAGAGGTACCAAGTATGACGCATTTATCATATGATGCGTTGGAGAAGTTTGTTTTTTTACACATGATAATTTATATATTCGTATCATATAAAATATTAAAATTTATATATTTATATCATATTTTATATAAAAATTACGTATCATAATTAGTATCGACACAAAAATATAAAATATTTTTATTTTATTTTGTTAAATTTATATATAATTATTGTTAAAATTTTAAGTCATGTCACATTCGTATATTATTTTTATATCATATTCGTATCGTATCATAGTATTGTATCATCGTGTTGTATTTTAGATTATCAAATCTATTTTTTGATAAATAGGCGTGTCCCACTTTGACGGCTAAATGCTCAATTTAAGATTAAATGTTTGAGTGGTTGCTTAATTAAGGATTTCAGTTTTAATTTGATTCAATGTAGGATATAACATTTTTTAATTTATTCAAATAAGGACTAAGTTACAGCTACACGCACCATCAAGTCTATTATCTATTAACGTTTTTCGTTGAACCCATTAACTATAATGAACAAAATACAAAAATTGAACATAGTTAGAATTGATGATCAATAAAGAGGCACAGAGCAAAATTAAACACAACAATTAGCCTAGAACAATCGAGTAAGGAAGGCTGGATAGGAGTAATTCACAATCAAAAGTTATTGAAAAGCAATAAATTTGGGCAAAGTTTTTGAATCTATGAAGGGAAAAAATGATACACAGTAAATCAATTGTTTTGAGAAGTTTTTTAGGCTAAGAAAAAAACTTTTGCTAGGCAATCAATAAAGCAAATTCATTAGCAAGATCAATAATCAGCAACTAGCCTTAAATAAGCAATTGATCCAATAAGGGGGTTCCAATACACAGAAGCAACCGTAGCAGCAAGATTCTAGAATTCATTAGCAAGGGTTTTTTCTGAATTTGATTTTTTTTTGCGAATTTTTCAGCAAGGGTTTTTTTTTTTTGTTTAATTCTTTTTTAGAATTTCTTATGGGTTTGATTCTTTTTGAGAATTTCTCAGTAACGGATTTTTTTGGGTTTTATTTTTTTAAGAATTTATAGGTTTTAAAATAGAGTTAGAAAAAGAAAAAAATGTTGATCGATCAGCAACACAATGAATGATGAATGGCGTCGAATTCTGACAATAAGATTCTGTGATTCTTGAGCTTTTCATTTTCTGAGTAGTAGTTAGGTTTTGTTTTAGAGATTTAGAGAGAGAAGAACATAAAATAAAGGTTGAACCAAAAATTTTGATTTCAACCATGAAGAAGCTATACTATTGGTGAAGGACGAAGACCAATGGTGGTTATTGGCGATAAAATCAATGGAGAAAAATGCTAATTTATGAGTATTTGTTCTTTGGTTAGAAAGAACAAGAAAATAAAGTTTGCTTAAGAAGAAAAACTGGAAAAGACATAGTTTTTGGCTATTTTTACTATTAATTATATTGTAAAACAGTAATTCACTCTTTTTTTACGCATGTAAATCAGTCATAACAGAAAGCCTTATTTGTCCAAATTCAAAAATGTTATGTCTTACATTGAACCACATTAAAGTTCAAATCTTTAATTGAAAATCACGCAAACGTTATATTCTTAATTGAGCATTTAGCCCACTTTGGTTAGAAAAATTGAAGTATGGTCCCTATATCCCAAAATGGCTCAATAGTCAACTGAATGCTACTTCATTCAACAAACGTGCACACATTGCATCACCTTATCATGCCCAGCCATGACGTACGAAAATAATACCGGGAAGCTTTACTTGTTTTTCTCGTGGGCGGTTGCATATCAAATATAAGATAAGTGAGATACATTTGGATTAAATTCGATTTGATATTTTAGATTAAAAAATATAAAATTTTAAAATTTAATATGAATTTGACTCAAAATTTATTTTTTTGATTTATTTATTTTTAAATTTTAAATTTTTATATATTTTTTAATATAATTTTTAATATATTTAAATAGATTTAGGTATAAAATAATTATTTTTATTTTATAAAAATTTAAAAAATATAAAATTAATAAAAATATTTACTTTTATGTTTATTAATTTTTAATTTTTTAATTCAAAATTTGATCCAAAACTTAATATATTTATTTAATATCTAAACCTAATTTGAACCAAATAAAAAAAAATCAATTCGAACCAAATCAAATACTATAATTTCTAATCAATTTTTAATTTATTTTATTTTTTCACTCTTAATACAAGGTGAAATAAATGTGTATGTATACAAATGTTAGATGGAGTCACAGTTGAATATTTAGACAACTCCAACATACTTGATCTCAATTATACCATTCTTCTCCCATAAAACATTAACCATCTTCTGAAATTGATTGAAGTTTGGCATCTTTCTAATGAATTAAGCTACCTGATAACCTGAATGACTATTCTAAATAAGCTTCCAATGAAAGATAGGTTACGATCATGGAAAATGAAAATTAATAATAGATGTAACTTATGCTACATTGAAGATAAGACAAAAGACCATGGTTATGTTGAAGAAGGTTATAGCACCCCCACAGTGTGCATGAAAATGATAGTACCAGTTTGATTTCAAATTATCCAAGCTTTAAATATATTTAAATTTTAACAAAATATTTAATATTAAAAATTAGTCCTAAAATTTCTCCAATAATTTGATAGCAATTTAAGATAATTCTTTCATTTCAGAAGTATTCAAGAGACTAATGTCCTACCCTAAAAAAGTTTTGTCGTCGAATTTATTATTATATTTTATTCAAAAAAATTAGTAAAGTATTTCAATAGTTTGATAGGATTTACTTTGAGGTAGATCTCTCAATAGTTTAGTGAGATTTTATTTAAAAATATTTATAAAGATTTTATTCTTTTGAGAAAATTCATTAAATATCCCAATAGTTTAAGACTTAATTTATGAAGCAATTCTTTAATAGTTTGGAAGATAAAAATTATTTTTTTTATTTTTTAAAATTTATTTATGAAACTTTTCAATAGTTTGGTAGATTCTATAAAATTTAAATCTACGAAAATTTTCTAATAGTTTAGTAGAATTCATGAATTTATTGAAAAGATTTTTTTGTTCTTTTTTTAAATTATTTTTTATTGTTTTCCTAGAAAAAGAAAGAATTTTTGTAGAATATATAATAAATAATAAGTTACTTAACAAAAGTAAATAAATAACAAAAATTAGTAAAATAAAAAACTGATAATAAAATAAAAATATAAATATAAAATAAAATAAAATTAAAATACAATTAAAATAGAAAAAAAAAACTTGCGATCAAGTTAGGCTGAATCATGGGTGGCATGGGGATCTTGTTCGGGTTATGCTTGGATTTGAGCTTGCAGAAAAGGTATCATTTTGGGATGCTATAAAAGCCAAGTCCCTTGTTATCTCTTCAGTAGCCTTGGTCTCTTTTCTCTCTTTAGCCTCCCTAATCTCTTCTCTCTCTAGCCTCAAATGCTCTGACCTCTTTTTAGAAAAACCAATTGAAAACTGGATAATTTCATCGATTTCTAAAAAAGTAGCTTGAATCCCATTGAAATATTCAAAGTCTATCGGAAAACTCAATCGAAAAATTCAAAAATTCAAAAATTCATCTCAAACCTATAATTTTTCAGATTTTTTCCAAATTCTTCAAATTTTTTCATAATCTCAACCTTGATTCCAAAAATTCAAAATCTCAATACTCACACACTCAAACAGAAACAAAAAATCCAAACACTTTTAAACCACCAAAACCTTGAATACATAACTTTAACACAAAAATCTCAGAAACCTAGCATTCAGAAAATTTTTCAAAATTTTAAACATAAAACCTTTTTCTTCAATAATTAATCATGTCTTGTTCTATCAAATTGTATCTAATTTATAGGCCTCCTTAATAGAAATTTTAAGGATTGGATAAAACTAATCTAAGCTTGAATCTTGATATTGAATTCTATCGAACATAATTTTATGCTAGATTTTAGTAATATATTTGGATTGAATTAAAAGCAACTTGATTTTATTATGGATTATGATCCTTGATGTGCGATTGGATCCTTCTGATTCGGGAGATCCAATTCCTTATTCAAATGCAAATTAAACAGTAAAGAAAATAATAATAATAATAATAATAATAATAATAATAATAATAATAATAATAGTAATAATATAATATACTATAATATAATATAAGGATAATATAATATAATATACTATAGTAATATAATACTAATAAAAATAAAATAATAATAATAATGCTAATAAAATAATAATAACAATAATAAATATCGGTTGGATTGACCTTGAACATAAATAAGTATTTATAATATTAATTTATATTTTTATTTAAATTTAAATAAAATAAAAATAATCCGGATAGCAAACTAGTTTATCAATTAGATAGTAACCCATTTATCTCTCGATCAATAATATTATTTAATAGAAGAGAAACTAAAATACAATAAACTTCCTCCCGAGTCCTGACAAGAAAGGAAAGCTTTCACACATTACAACTTTGAATCCTGACTTTCAAGTCCAAGCCACCGAATAGCATTCATAGCCAGGCATGAAATAAAACAGAGAAAACAACGACACTTATGAACAAAATCCACCTCTCCAATAACTTCTCTAAGCTTATCAATCTCAGCAAAGACTTTCCATTGATTCCAAGGCCGAGAATTCATACTAAGCACCCAATTGATGGCCAAAGGGACAACGAAGTGTTACGATTCGTTTAAGAACCAAAGAATAATAATTGCCTGCAGCATGTAGGGAATTATCATGAACTAAATAATTCAACAATTGAATCGAAGCCTTTTCAAGGCAGTCATCAACCATTAAAATAGATGGTGGCATTACCTAGAAGCACTAGACAGAAGTACAGAGAAAAACATGAAACTAGATCATAAAGGGGGCTCAACTTAAACTCTTGCTAGTGTTAAAGCCCCTTTTTCTTTTCCAGGTTTAATTTTGTAAAATCCATGTTACCTAAATTTTCTGTGTAGAATTTTTAAATCTTTCTAGCAGTTCTAGACTTTAACTTTTAAGATCATTTTTGAGTTTATAGTTTGTATTATAATTATAACCCAGCCATCTGCCAATCCTAAGCCCTATGAACCCATGTGACCAATTCGGCCATGAGGAGGAATTGTGAAGAAAATTCAACATGCATTTGTAAGTGGGCGGGTCTCATTTTGGTTGGTAAGGGCTGAAATCCACTGATAGAACTTCAATTCTTTTCACTTGAACTTGACAGGAATCGGCCATTCTTAATAAATTTTCCTTGGCAGTATGTAATGAAATTATTGAGCCTTCAAAGCATGAAATCCAAGTGATCATTATTCCTTACCAAATAATAAATATTCTTACTGGACCACACCATTTTGTTATTCGCCCAACAGAAAAAGAAAACTCCAATTATTGAGTTTTCAAACGAGGAAATCATCGTAATCAATGATTCTTGGGGTGATGACTAAAGTGAGGTTTATTATGGTGCAGCCCTGAGAGGTCCTCTCATGTAGACCGTACGATTTCGTGGCTCTGTTATTCATCGTTGGATCTAAAAGTTTTTTTTTTTGTCGAATTTAATTGTAACCGGTGAAGCTCAAAAGAAAAATGACAAAACCAAGACCTCGTTAGTGGCTGTTACAGTTATCGCACGTGCTTTTAAATTTTGAATTATGGTTCAAAACTCGCTGGACCGCACAGTTGCCGAACGATAGGTCTGGAAGTTGTTAATGAATAACGATTTCAATAGAAAAAGCTCAGAGCTTTCAAACCGTGAAATAATCGTGCTCACTATTTTGGCCTGTGATGTACGCAATTCCATGGACGCCGTACAATTGGATGATATTCATGCTATCAAAGTTATTTTCATGATTTTCATGTTTTTGTTGGTTTGCAAACTTGCGTTGTGGTAACCTTCAAAGTAGGCATGTCCCACTTTTGCTGGAAAAGACTGAAGTTCAGCCCCCATTTCCCAAAATGGCTCAACAATCGACTGGACTGCTACTTCATTCGACAAAAGTGCACACATTGCATCGCCGCGTCGCACTGTGCCATGCCGTACGAATATAATACAGGGAAGCTTTGCTTGTTTTCCTCGTGGTTGCTTGTTTTGCCTGTTTTCAACAAACGTGCATGCATTGCATCGCCCCGCCGCGCCTCGCCGTGCCATGTCGTACGAAAAATAATACAGGGAAGCTTTGCACATAAACGAATGTTAGATGGAGTCACAGTAAAATATTTGGGTTACTACAGAAAATGGATTAGGCCCATTTATGCCAAAAGACCGCAAAAGCACAGCGCTAGGAGTTTCGGACGTTGCCCATTGCACAGTGAGCTAGGGCCCTTCCAGCTAGTGCTGGGTGAAGATTGTGAAGCAAAAATGGGCCAAAACATACATGCATAAAAAGCTGAAAAAGCCCTTTTTAAATGGATAGTTGTTGGACAGATCGGGAATTTATCGTGCCTTTAGAGCTTCAAAGACTCACCAAACAAAACGGGTCTTTCTAGAATCGCACAAGCAACGAGGAACCCACAAAGCAAAGAAAAATAGTATTAAAGCCCAATTGTCATTTTAAAGTAAATTAACTCACTATGTTTTGATAGTGTTTAGCTACTAATTAAAAGAGCATTCGGAAAACTGATTTTTTTCAATAATTTTTCCATATAAAGAAAGGGTTGAAGATGGAAGAGTGAATGCTTATTATGGAAAATTGTAAGTTTACACGTAACAATTAATGGATTTGTGTGCATCAATTCTTTAACAAGTCTAATTTTCTTCAAAACAAGTCGTAGTCCTAGAGGAACACTTGTTCAATAATGGCAAATAAGCACAAAAAGTGAACTTTCAATTAGTAAATTAAACTGTTAACTTTCTAACAATCAAATCATAAGTAGCAAATTTTATATTACTTGTGCTATAAATTTGTGCCTATTTCGCAAATTAGTTCTAAAACTTTAATGATGGTCGATTCAGTCTTTTTATATTTAGGTGAAGTAAACAAGACATTTAATGAAGCTTAATGAGTACCTTATTACAGGGTCACAACCAACAACATTTGGTGGTCATTGATATTAAAGTACTATTAATTATATTTAAAATCAGTCAACTTTTCACCAAACTCAAATTCATTAAAATAAGGTAAATTGAATAAAAAAAAACAACCTTTGCTCATATTTTAAATTAAACCCCAACCTTTTACTTATTTAAAATTAATACCCAATCTTTTTAAAATTTAGCAATTTAAGAAACGCCCTTACATTAGACTAAAACTAGCCATCCATAATGAGTAAACTTTTTACAATTCCAATTTATTTCTATCAATTTTTATAAATTCTTTCATTTCTTTAAGCAATTACAACTTTCAATTTTTATCCTAATCTTTCATTTTCCTTATATTTTAGTCAAATCCTCATGCACACACTAACGGTCGGATGCCATAATTGAAAAGTTGTGTTTAATGCGTGAATCACGTTATGGTCCAGACGCTTTATTAAGATATCTTGCGTAATTTGCGTAGATTATGATAAAGAGGCTACAATAGAAAGATTAAATATTAAATGTATGGATCACAATAAGGTTCAAAGTTTGTGATTGACAGATCATTCATAAAACTGTAGATCATGATAAGACCTGGAGTAGTTTGTGGTGCTTTGCAGTGAAGGTGAAAGGGCATAAGGGTTACTTTTATTTCAGCATTTATTGATTCAATACAACTAAAGATGCTAGGGCATGCATATGCTAGTAATGCTTTCATTTTCGCAGCGGCACCTGAAACCAAATTTGGCTTGCTCGTTGATTGCTGTAATCATTGATCGTAATGTCAGGAAGGGTGGCACTGGTATCTTTCACATCCATCACCTGTTCAGTCACCACATGCAAAATGGTGCCATCACTCCGAAATCGCCACCGTTCCTCAATCCATCCATCGCACGTTCCCACAGTAACTAAGTCCCCACCTGCATTTGCATATTTGAGACACCCATCACGATTTTTCTGAGGCCTGATGGTCTCGTCTGGATATATTGCCCACTGTTGTTCAGCATCTTTACTCACACATTTCTCCAGCCACACCTGACTTCCACTTGCTAGCAAGCACAGACCATTATAACCAACAATGGTGGTCACTGATGGCTTCGTATTATTACTGGCATACCAAACTTGCCTAGAACCAAAAAAGATGTTATCTACAACCAGATTAATCATGCCTGAGCTATCCTTACTTCCCGTCAAGACTAGCCCAGATCTGGGATTTCTTATGCTTCCGTCGCTCCAGATTTTCCATTTGGTGGCATCAGAGACAGCCGTGTCACAATCATAGATCATCACATAGCTTCCGGAGCTGTATCCATAAGTGGTTAAGCATTTTCCACCAGATCGAATTGTGTTATCATCTGTTCTCAACGTCCATAATTGATTGGCCTGATTTTGTCCACATTGCCATAAGATTATTTTGTTCCCATTGTGGTAGCTTCCCTCGTATACATCAACACACAGACCATTCTGTCCAATAATATTCGAGGTTGGCGCTAAAGCTCTTTCACAAGTGTCACCGTTGTCTTCCAGGCCAATGGATCTCATAGCCATAGGTAACAAAGAAGAAAACTCATATGATGATATCGATGCTGGCATTTCCAAAAGCTGCAGATTTGCTCTTGTGTTTCTGCATCTTAATGGCATTATTGCAATAATGAAAAGCACTTGTCTCAAGGTGCTCAAAACCAATTCTTGACCATCATATACTAAACGGACCGCTGTTGTGAAGATTCCATCTGTTGCAGATTGGATGGCAGAGGAGATGTCTTCCCAGCTAGTTTCATACTCCGTCACTAAACCATCTGGATAAAACACTCCATAAGTTCCATCTGCACGAGGCTCCGCAACTGCAAGTATTTCTTGCTGGATGTTTCTCAATCGCACAGCTTCTGAAACCATCTGGATACAAACTATAAGGGCTCTAGCGATGGGGCCACGAGAAGAACTGGGTTGAAGATAATTCATGTTCTCAATATGTTGGCGTAGTTCATCAATTCCCAGAGGGATTTCCCTTCTATCACCCACTCCTGCAGCAGCTTCAAGTGCCCCATATCTGCCAGTATATGGAAGAGACTCTCTCTGAGTGTTTGGGAAAAGAGCATTACGTGCATCAGTGGGAACATCGCTAAAGAAGTAGGAGCTTCCACTTCCACCTGCTTGATAACCCAAGATATACACATCACTGACATTCAAAGCTAATGTGACGGTTTGGTACCCATTTGAGAGTTCCACATAAAGATATTGTTGGGGATCAGTAGGCTGCGTAGATCTGGGAGGCAAAACTGGTATGTCCCCGCTTCTATCTGCACGATCTGTCAATGCATTGTATAAATCCTTCATAAACATCAGATACGAGTTCCTGGTGGCACCCTTAGTGGTGAATCTCACCGTGTAAACCGTGAGCTTGTGTTCATTTCCTGTCGCAGCGATGCAGCACTGTGGTTGAACCATGGATATCCAACAAACCCATACTGCCAACACAACCCAAACCTTCATTTGTTGTTGATACAAGGAAACTTTCATTTCATACAGTGTAAGAAAATTTTTATCGAAATATATTATTTGGTGAAAGACTTTAGTAGGTAGAGAATTTTTGCAGTGCTTGGCTTTCTATGTGATTTTAATGGGAGGAGAGGGCCTTTTTAATAACAATATATAGAACTTTGATTCTTTTCACTTAACTTGATGGGGATCGGCCGTTCTTAATAAATTAAAGTTCCTTGGCAGGTATGGAATATAATTATTGAGCTTTCCAAAGCGAGAAATCCTCGTGATTTTACCTAGTCATTGTTAGTTACTAACTAATAAATATTAATTTTAGACCGCATTATTTTTATTCAATTAATAAAAAAAAAACTCAAATTATTAAGCTTTTAAAGCGTGAAATCCTCGTGATCATGCGTCATCATTATTAGTTACTAACTAATAAATATTATTTTTGGACCGCACCATTTTTACTTCACCCAATAGAAAAAAAAAAAAAACTCAAATTATTGAACTTTCAAAACGTGAAATTCTCATGATCATGCGTGATTATTATTAATTACTAACTAATAAATATTATTTTTGAACCATACCATTTTTACTTCACCCAATAAAAAAAGAAAAAAAAAACTCAAATTATTGAACTTTCAAAGCATGAAATTCTGGTGATCATGCCTGGTCATTATTAGTTACTAACTAATAAATATTATTTTTGGACCGCACCATTTTTACTTCACCCAATAGAAAAAAAAAAAGAAAATTCAAATTATTGAGCTTTCAAGGTATGAAAAGATTGAAATCTTCTTGATCAACGTTTGATGGGGTTGGGGTGATGAAATATTAATATAATAACGATTTCAAAATGGAAAAAAAAAGCCATTTGGGATAAGAACGATGACATTGAGAATAGAAATTAAACAAATTATTTGACCGGCAAGTAGCGCTGGTTTTTTGCGGGTCCTGAGATAATAATCCATTTATCATTATGTTTTTCACATGTTTATTTCTAATATTTACAAGCTACCAACCAAACCAAAAGTCTTCATCTTGTAAATTCCATGCCCTAATCTTTTTTTTTTTTTGAAAGGGACAAGAAAGGTTTTTCCTTCTCAAACAATAATATTATTTAATAGAAGAAAAGAGACCAGTTCTAACATGAAAGGAAATCTTTTACACATTACAACTCCCAATCCTAACTTTCAAATCCAAACTATCGAATAGCATTTATGGCCAGGCATGAAATAAAATAGAAAAGACAACAACAACAACACCCATTTTTGTCAAGGAATCAGTAAAAGAGTTGGTTTCTCAGTAAATATGAACAAAATCTACCTCTCCAATAACTTCTCTAAGCTTATCAACCTCAGCAAAGACTTTCCATTGATTCCATGGCCGAGAATTCATACTGAGCACCCAATTGATAGCCAAAGAGACAAGAAAGTATTACAATTCTTTTAAGAACCAAAGAATAACAATTGCCTGCAGCATGCAGGGAATTATCATGAACTAAATATTTCAGCAATTGAATCGATGCCTTTTCAAGTATCTCCTACACACTGATGGAATTTTAAAAATATCTCCTAACCTAATAAGTTTTCTTGAAAAAAGTTGTCATTTGTAATTTTTAAAAAATTATACCATGTCATTTATACCATTATCCTTTTAATATTTTTGCATATTTCACCCTGTTTAATATGTTTCATTTTTATTTTTTTCTATATTCCTCTTTATTGATTTTTTAAGAATTAATTAATGCGTTGGAATAATTCTTATGTCTCTTCCAATTGTATTATTTATATTTTTTTGAAAAATGTTACTACAAATTTCTTAAAAATTTATATTATTAAGGACGTTTCAACAATAATTTTATTATGATTATTGTTTTTTTTTTGGTTAATTTTCACCTTTTTTTAGTAATTCCAATAAATTTTTAATTTAAATTATATGACCTAATGAAACATAATAAATAATAATAATCAAATCAAAGTAAAGGACAACAAATTATATTATATCATTTTTTCTAGTTCAATGAATTACTTTTCTTTTCCAGGTCTAATTTTGTAAAATCCATGTTATCTAAATTTTCTGTGTAAATTTTTCGATACTCTCTAGCAGTTCTAGAATTTATTTTTTGAGATGTTTTTTTAGTTTACAGTTTATATTATAATTATAACCCAACCATCTGCTAATCCTAATCCCTATGAACCCATGATCGATTCGGCCATGAGTAGGAATTGTGAAGAAAATTCAACATGCATTTGTAAGTGGGCGTGTCCCATTTTGGTTGGAAACGGCTGAAGTTCAGCCTTATGCCTTGATTTACTCGACACATGCATGCGCATCGCTGCGCCGTACGAAAATAAAACAGGGAAGCTTGGTTGTTTTCTCCTCGTAGTGGGTTGCAACTTGCAACTTTTATTTCAACATTTATTTTTTCAGCACAAATGCTTAGATCCAGCATTTATTTATTCAATACAAAAAGGATTATGCATATGTCACGGGCCACCAAAAGTTTAAGCCTAGTAATAGTGCGATTTTAGGTAAGAATTACCATCAATATACTTAAGTCGGCGCACGGTCCGTAACACAATGCATATGCATATGCTAGTAGTGCTTTCACTTTCACAGTAACACCTGAAACCAAATTTGGCTTGGTCGTTGATCGTTGTAATCATTGACTGTAATCTCAGGAAGGGTGGCACTAGTATCTTTCACATCCATCACCTGTTCAGTCACCACATGCAAAATGGTGCCATCACTCTGAAATCGCCACCGTTCCTCAATCCATCCATCGCATGTTGCCACGGTAACTAAGTCCCCACCTGCATTTGCATACTTGAGACACCCATCACGATTCTTCTGAGGCCTGATGGTTCCGTCTGGATATATTGCCCACTGTTGTTCAGCATCGTTGCTCACACATTTTTCCAACCACACCCGACTTCCACTTGCCAGCAAGCACAGACCATTATAACCAATTATGGTGGTCACTGATGGCTTCGTATTATTACTGGCATGCCAAGCTTGCCTAGAACCATAAAAGTTGTTATCTACGACCAGATTAATCATGCCTGAGCTATCCTTACTTCCCGTCAAGACTAGCCCAGATCTGGGATTTCTTACGCTTCCGTCGCTCCAGATTTTCCATTTGGTGGCATCAGACACAGCGGTGTCACAATCATGGATCATCACATAGTTTCCGGAGCTATATCCATAAGTGGTTAAGCATTTACCACCAGATCGAATTGTGTTATCATCTGTTCTCAACGTCCATAATTGATTGGCCTGATTTTGTCCACATTGCCATAAGATTATTTTGTTCCCATTGTGGTAGCTTCCCTCGTATACATCAACACAGAGACCATTTTGTCCAGTAATATGCGAGGTTGGCGCTAAAGCTCTTTCACAAGTGTCACCTTCGTCTTCCAGGCCAATGGATCTCATAGCCATAGGAAACAAAGAAGAAAACCTATATGATGATATTGATGTTGGCATGCGCAAAAGATGCAGATTAGCTCCCGTGTTTCTGCATCTTAATGGCATTATTGCAATAATGAAAAGCACTTGACTCAAAGTGCTCAAAACCAATTCCTGACCATTATATACTAAACGGACTGCTGTTGTGAAGATTCCATCTGTTGCAGATTGGATGGCAGAGGAGATGTCTTCCCAGCTAGTTTCATACTCCATCACTAAACCATCTGGATAAAACACTCCATAAGTTCCATCTGCACGAGGCTCTGCAACTGCAAGTATTTCTTGCTGGATGTTTCTCAATCGCACAGCTTCTGAAATCATCTGGATACAAACAATAAGGGCTCTAGCGATGGGGCCACGAGAAGAACTGGGTTGAAGATAATTCATGTTCTCAATATGTTGGCGTAGTTCATCAATTCCCAGAGGGATTTCCCTTCTATCACCCACTCCTGCAGCAGCTTCAAGTGCCCCATATCTGCCAGTATATGGAAGAGACTCTCTCTGAGTGTTTGGGAAAAGAGCATTACGTGCATCAGTGGGAACGTCGCTAAAGAAGTAGGAGCTTCCACTTCCACCTGCTCGATAACCCAAGATATACACATCACTGACATTCAAAGCCAATGTGACGGTTTGGTACCCATTTGAGAGCTCCACATAAAGATATTGTTGGGGATCAGTCGGCTGCGTAGATCTGGGAGGCAAAACCGGTATGTCTCCGCTTCTATCTGCACGATCTGTCAATGCATTGTATAAATCCTTCATAAACATCAGATACGAGTTCCTGGTGGCACCCTTAGTGGTGAATCTCACCGTGTTAATCGTGAGCTTGTTTTCTTTTTCTGCCGCAGCGATGTAGCACCGTGGTTCAACCATGGATATCCAACAAACCCATACAGCCAACAAAACCCAAACCTTCATTTTTTGTTGATACAAGGAAACTTTAGAAAATTTTTATGGAAGTATATTATTTCTTGAAAGACTTTAGTAGGTAAAGAAATTTTTGCAGTGCTTTTCTTTGTACGTGATTCTAATAGGAGAGGGCCTTTCATAACAATATATAGAACTTTGATTCTTTTCACTTAACTCGATAGGGGTCTGCCGTTCTTAATAAATTAATGTTCCTTGGCAGTATGTAAATTATTGAGCTTTCCAAAGCAAGAAATCATCTTGATCAATGTCGGTTGGTGTAATGACTAGAGTGAGGTTTATTATGATGCAGTATGTACATTATTAACAATAAATGGTTTCGGATTTTTTTAGCCCATTCTATTTTGGTAGTTCGACAGCGAAAATTTTTTCGTTTATGTATTTTCAGAATATGAGTATGTTACTTGTTATAATTGCTCTTATTGATAATATAAAAAATGGATCTGTCCTTTTGATTGAGATAATTTTATCTTGTCGGATAATCATTCTAGTATATGGAGCATGGAATATATAAAATGGATGGAGAAATATTTAATTAGTTAAAGTTTATTTTTTTTGATAAAAAAATTTTGAGTTTAAATTTTATCAATGTTTATTTATTGAAATTATTTTAAATATATGATTTATAATTATTTATTTTAAATTATTATATCTTATTTTAAAATGAAAAATTAAATAATTTATCTATTTTATATTTAGATTACAAAAAATATATATAAATTATTGAGCTTTTCAAAGCATGAAATCATCTTGAGCAATGATAATATAAATAACGATTTCAAAATGGAAAAAGC